TTCCCCCCCCCCCGCACAGTTTTTTCCCCCACGCGAAACAGAACAGAACCTCCAACATTTTTGACCAAAACGTCAGCAATCCTCAAAAATTTCACTAATCTCTCTTGGAATTTTTTACCGTAACTTTTTAGCCCGGCGTCAGCTTTCTTATTTTGGTGTTTGACGGTGTCAAAATTAAATTAATTAAATTTAAAAATATTTTGGCCGAAATGGCTGCAAAATTGTTGACCAACACCTATTCACATCAACGTGTATTGCCATTGTGCTTTGACGCTACAAAAAACCACGTTAGCAGGAGCGTCCAGGCCTGGCTGGGGCGGGGTTTCCGAGACTTTAGCCGGCAGCACTAATGGAACCGATAATGGCACCCACTAATCTTCGTCAAGTAGATGGCGATCAATTTGTTGTCGGCCTGTTTCTGATGTTTGTACTCGATGGCGGACGCGACGAACGTCACATGGTCTGCCGGACAACTTGAGCCCGCTGCCTGCTCCAACTTGATGACCGGATCCGGGTAATTGGCAGCCTGCAACAAGGGATATCATAAAATAACCCCAGAATCATCTACCAGAATTGGAGAGAAGAGGCCGCAGCAGACGATCAGCCGGATGATGAGCATCGTGAAGCGGTGGATGCTGAAAAACAGAGGCCTGGAAATTAGAATGAAAAGGCTTGGGGGAGGGGGGAGGGAAAGGGATGAGTGTACAAAAGTATTGCCCATTCCCTGTTTTCTGCTACGCCCCCTTCTGATTGTAAGATGAACAAGCAGAAACAATGTCGGATTGGCGAGCCCGGGAATTCCAGTAGATGAACAATATACTACTTTTTACAAGGCACATGGTTTACAAGGGTTTAGGGGTTTAGTAGCCGTCCAGCCAGAAGACCTATTAATGTGCCGAGAGGACTTTCAACTTTCAAAATCTTGTAAAAATTTTTCTAACAATTTTTTATGTAAGAAAACAACTTCACAATAGTAATTCGACCACGGCGAACATTTTGCGATACTCGGCGCATTAACAGGACGCATGGCTGAAAAGTTACGGCTGGGGGGGGGTAAACTAGACTCTTACCTAAAAGTTTTTCTAACAATTTTTGATGTAAGAAAACAACTTGGCTATAGTAATTCGACTACGGCGAACATTTTGAAATACCCGGCGCATCAAAGGGCTCGAGAAAGATGCATTTGGCGAAAAAGCAAAGAATCTTGCAGCGCGCGGGAGTCGAACCAGCGATGGTTCCCCCACAGCCCAGCGTGCTAACCATTACACCATGGCGCCAACCGAGCCGCCGCGGCAAAAAGCCCTCAAATACTCTAAGGGTGGGAACAGGCGAAAAAAATTTGGAAAACCGCGTTCGTAACGCTTAAATTCGTGTGAAAACACATCGGAAACGGCGCGCGCAAGCGAAATTTTGTTTCAGCAAAATGGTGCACTAATGAAAACGAGTGCCGCAGGCAAAAAATCTTAGAAAAATAGGGGTAAGAGTTTACTTTACCCCCCCCCCCCCACAGCCGAAGGGTCTCAAAGTTGTCGGTATTTTAGCTTATTTTATCGTGATTTTCGCAACGCCATTCGATAAAGCGTCGAAAAATATGGCTACGGTTTACTTTACCCCCCCCCCAGCCTGAAGTTTTTGGCTATAACTTTTTTATTTTACATTATTGTAGGCTCAAATTAAAACTCTTAGTATATTTTTCGACGCTCTATGGAATGGCGTTGCGAAAATCCCGACAAAATAAGCGAAAATACCGACAACTTTGAGACCCTTCGGCTGTGGGGGGGGGGGGGGGTAAAGTAAACTCTTACCAAAAATATATTAAGAGTTTTAATTTGAGCCTACAATAATCAACTATAATAAAAAAGTAGAGACGTCTGTGTGTGTGTGTGTGTGTGTGTGTGTGTGTGTGTGTGTGTGTGTGTGTGTGTGTGTGTGTGTGTGTGTGTGTGTGTGTGTGTGTGTGTGTGTGTGTGTGTGTGTGTGTGTGTGTGTGTGTGTGTGTGTGTGTGTGTGTGTGTGTGTGTGTGTGTGTGTGTGTGTGTGTGTGTGTGTGTGTGTGTGTGTGTGTGTGTGTGTGTGTGTGTGTGTGTGTGTGTGTGTGTGTGTGTGTGTGTGTGTGTGTGTGTGTGTGTGTGTGTGTGTGTGTGTGTGTGTGTGTGTGTGTGTGTGTGTGTGTGTGTGTGTGTGTGTGTGTGTGTGTGTGTGTGTGTATGTGTGTGTGTGTGTGTGTGTGTGTGTGTGTGTGTGTGTGTGTGTGTGTGTGTGTGTGTGTGTGTGTGTGTGTGTGTGTGTGTGTGTGTGTGTGTGTGTGTGTGTGTGTGTGTGTGTGTGTGTGTGTGTGTGTGTGTGTGTGTGTGTGTGTGTGTGTGTGTGTGTGTGTGTGTGTGTGTGTGTGTGTGTGTGTGTGTGTGTGTGTGTGTGTGTGTGTGTGTGTGTGTGTGTGTGTGTGTGTGTGAGTTCCATTCGCTATGCCGAATTTTGCTATGCCGATTGACGCTGTGCCGAATTTCACTATGCCGAATTTTCACTATGCCGAATTTTCACTATGCCGAATTTTCACTATGCCGAATTTCGCTATGCCGAATTTTTAGTATACCGAATTTTCACTATGCCGATTTTCACGATACCGAATTTTCACCATGCCGAATCTTCGCCATACTAATTTTGATAAGCGGTATGTTCCCCATTTTTTTACTGTTTTTTCCAAATATCATGGGCCTAGAAAGTTAGAGTTAGCGTAGAAATTTCCAAAAACTCGAGCAGATCGTAGGTCCCGTAGGCGCAGCAGTTTTTTTGTTTGCACCGCTAAGTCCCAGTCGATCTTAGTTATTAATATTAGTAGAGACTATTAGTGGTAGAGTAGAAAAAATTCGGCATAGCGAAATTCGGTATAGCGAAAATTCGGTATAGTGAAAATTCGGTATGGCGAAATTCGGCATAGTGAAAATTCGGCATAGTGAAAATTCGGCATAGTGAAAATTCGGCATAGTGAAATTCGGCATAGCGAAAATTCGGCATAGTGAAATTCGGCATAGTGTAAATCGGCACAGCGAAAATCGGCACAGCAAGTATTTACCGTGTGTGTGTGTGTGTGTGTGTGTGTGTGTGTGTGTGTGTGTGTGTGTGTGTGTGTGTGTGTGTGTCTGAAGCCGAATTCAACTCGAAGGGGAAAGGAGCTAGAGCTTAGCTCTCTTCGGATTCGGATAGAGCATGGTCGGAAACCCCCAAACTGATAAAATAATTATGAAAAAATTTTAGTTTAAATTATTAAAATTAACTTTGTGGTGATTTTGGACATAGTGAGCCAGGTTGCGCGCGTTTCGTGGATGAAAATTTTCACGGGGGATTTCATTTCTTTTTTTCTCTCATTCCATCCGGTCGGTCGTTATTTTCGTTTTTTAAAAGGATTGCTAGGAGAGGTATTTAAAACCATCAGGAAGGTATTTAGGTAGTTTTTGAAGGGGATTTCAGCCATGGGGGGTATCTGAAGCCATCGGGAAGGTATTTAGGTAGTTTTTGAAGGGGATTTCAGCCATGGGGGGTATCTGAAGCCATCGGGAAGGTATTTAGGTAGTTTTTGAAGGGGATTTCAGCCATGGGGGTATCTGAAGCCATCGGGAAGGTATTTAGGTAGTTTTTGAAGGGGATTTCAGCCATGCGGGGTATCTGAAGCCATCGGGAAGGTATTTAGGTAGTTTTTGAAGGGGATTTCAGCCATGCGGGGTATCTGAAGCCATCAGGGAAGGTATTTAGGTAGTTTTTGAACGGGATTTCCGCTATCGGGGGTATTGATGGAGGTGGGAAGGGATGTGGTGGGGTGGGGCATGTAGGTTAGCCCGAAGGCCAGATGGTTGCAGTCGCGAAGCGACTGTAACCATCTGGTGTAAAATAAAAAAGTTATAGCGAAAAACTTCCGACTGGGGGGGATAAAGTAAACCGTAGCCAAAATAGGTTTTCTATAAGAAAAATCGTTTCGAAACAGTGATAAACAGCGCCGCAGCCGGAAAAATTTTTACGAAAAAAAAACATAGGGGTCCCCCCTTATGAGCTTTTCGGATCTCGACCGATTTCGGGGGGGCACCGTGCCCCCGGCGATACCTTTGAGAAGTGTGGACATCCGATGGACGACGCATCGCTGCAGTTGACGGTCGGGTCGGCAGAACCAGATGCAGGCGGGAAGGTAGAATGGGTGAACGAGGCTCCATTTTTTCTCCTTTTCCCCCAGCAATTCACGCTAATCTCGATGCTGATTAGCGGAATGTACGCTAATTTCTACATCCGCTTATTCTAGTTTGGTGCATCGCAAGTGCCATGGTAATTTAGTCAAATCGAATCAAAGCAAAATCAGATCAAACTTGCACTTGGAGTGGATGCGTTTCGGATAATGCCTTCAGCCCAAAATAATGCAATATAAAATAGTTACAGCCAAAACAAAATTTCAACGCGATTTCCCTATGAGAAGAAGAGGTGTTCCGACGTTGTCACAAAATTTCTTGAACGCCATTCGATAGAGCGTCAAAAAAGATACTAAGCATTTTAATTATAACCCAAGATAATGTAAAATTAAATAGTTAAGGCAAAAATACGCAAAATTCGGATAACCTGCCAAACGCTATTTTGATTTTATAAATTTTAATATATATTTTTCTGCAATTCCCGGCCCGGGGGTAGTAGTTGGGACCTAGGGCTACTGATTGATGGCCTTAAAAAGTTTTTGGGACTTTACGGCTGGGGGGCGGGTAACGTACACTCTTACCAGCCCGCGCTTAAATCCCTCGCCCTTTTTTCCGTCTAGAAAAGGGCGGTAGTGTTCATCTACCGAGATTCCCTGAAGCGCCAATTCGACATGTTGTTGCTTGCTCATCTTACACCCAAAAGGGGCTTTACCCAAAACACGGTCGGGGAATGGGCAATATTTTTGTACACTAAGCGCATGCCCCCCAACCCGCCTAAGCCATTTCATTTACCTTCTCAAGCTTTTCTTCAGCATCCACGGCTTCACGATGCTCATCCTCCATCTGATCGTCTGCTTTGGCCTCTTCTCTCCAAATATGGTAGTCGAACCTGGGGTTATTTTATGAGATATCCCTTGTGGCAGGCTGCCAATTACCCGGACTGGTCCCTCAAGCTGGACACTGGAACGGACGCAAGCTGTCCGGCAGACCACGTCACCTTCGCCTTGTCGGACGTCACCTATGCAGTGCTCGACAAAGAAGCAACCGCAAAGAAGCTGGTTATTACCGTGAATAATATTGGTGGGTGCTTGGCCAAATGGATAGAGTGGGGTGGCTGTTTTCCCGGCGCAAGCCTAGATTTTCCTATATAAGTTCGGTATTCCAAAATGTTCGCCGTGGTCGAATTACTATCGAAAAGCTGTGTCTTTACCTCAAAAATGGTTAGAAAATTGTTGCATAACAATTATAAGTCTTAAACTTGTCAACCTTCAAAATCTTGTAAAAAAAATTTCTAACAGTTTTTGCCGCAATCAAACGACGTTGTTATCATAATTCGACTACGGTGAACATTTTGAGAGACGGATTACGAAAAACTGCGTAAACATGAAATATCCAACTAAGAAAATCGGCTAAATTTAAGCATGGCGAGCGAATCTTTCACTTTTAATGTTGTCTAACAGTGGTCTCTAGCCATTTTTGACGCAAGCAAAAATCTTCCACAGCCTTTCGACAGATTAACTAAACCATATCCGACGGGCACCTTTGGATATCTGTGTCAAAAGAAGTGTGAGGTACGAAATGATACTTGTTGCATAGAGACATCCATACTTCCATTTGTAGTGCAGCGACAAGGCGTGTGATGTGAAGGGCGACGGCAAATGCTCGGGCTCATCAGAGTCGAATGTCAGTCTCCTCCCTTCATCCACTCCATCCTAATGCTTGTGTTCAGTTCGTGCTCATCCTCGCCGTCGTCATCCCCATCATTCGGGTTATGTTCATTTTTCCTAAAAATCATTTTTCCTAAATTCATTTTTCCTAAATTCATTTTTCCTAAAATTCATTTTGCCTAAAAATCATTTTTCCTAAAAATCATTTTTCCTAAAAATCATTTTTCCTAAAAGTCATTTTTCCTAAAAATCATTTTTCCTAAAGTTCATTTTTCCTAAAATTTTTCATTCAATAGGGATGCGTAAAAATATCAAGAAATTCCAAATGCTATAATTTTTTAGCAGTATTTGTTTGGTTTGGTTATTAGTAGGCTTTTATCGAAAATCTTTCTTATTATCATTGATCCTTTTCACTTCCAATCACCCAAATCTAGGCTAAACGCGCAACTAAAATACTTCCTATGATCACTCTAGGCAGATCTGACCTTATTCTAAAAAATTTTCTATTTTCTCATGCATAGTACTAAAGCACTAGGCCTATTCGGTATTTAACCGGTTTTAGGAAAAATAAACTTTAGGAAAAATGATTTTTAGGAAAAATGACTTTTAGGAAAAATGATTTTTAGGAAAAATGACTTTTAGGAAAAATGATTTTTAGGAAAAATGATTTTTAGGAAAAATGAATTTAGGAAAAATGAATTTAGGAAAAATGATTTTTAGGAAAAATGACTGGAATTCCATCATTCAGCTGCTCGTCATTGGTGTCGTCGTCTTCATCATGCTCAAGTAATGTAGGCTGCAATAATAAGTCGGCTCGGCTCGACAGCACCAGCCATTTTGATTAACACAACATATCATTGGTGCCTGTGTGTCGCCCTCACGCGCTAAAACCCCACCCCCGCTAACGAACAAGCACTTCAAAAATTTCTCAATTAGCCTGGGGCACGGAAAATGAACCATTCAATTTTTGACCATTTTTCTAAGCTGTTTAATAGCAATCAGGCAGTGTTAAAACACAAATAAAAAAAGACGAATAAGGCCCAAAGACCATCTTTGCTCAGGGCGCAGAGATTTTTTCGTTTTTAGTTGTGTTTCAGAACCGAGCCGAAGATCTAGAAGACGGCGAGACGAGAGACGACCACGAGACGCAAGCATCACAAAGACGGCCCGCTTCAAGCTAAAGGTATACCAGATTCCCAATTTTTAAAACACACCACGGTTACCGTATGCCATCTGCGTGTTTTCAGGTATTCGCCAGCACTGCTTCGACTTCTCGGCCATCACCATTTACCCCGCTACATCAAGCAAAAAGAGCGACGCGTTGGATAGAAAACTCATTCATTTCTACCGTCAGCTTCTTTTTCACCCCGCTCCCCGTTTTTCTGTGTATCTCGCTCTGCATACCTCCCCTTTTTGTCTAATTTTCGGATCAAATCTTCAACTGTGTTTTGGGTATACTTTTCTCTGACTGGCGTAATCAAGAATATTGGGCTCGAAGATATGTTGGCAGTGTTACGGTCTCTTTGTCTGTCTCTCTCCCTCTCTCTCTCTCTCTCTCTCTCTCTCTCTCTTTCTCTTTCGTGCGCGCTCTCTCTCTGTCTCTCTCTCCTTTTCTCTCTCTCGCTCTCTCGCTCTTTCTTCTCTCTCTCTCCCTCTCTATCTCCCTCTCTCTCTTGCCTGCCTCCCTTTCTCCGACTTTCCTAAAGCAAAGCAGGGATGCCTATTTGAAAAGGCAGGAGATCATTTGCATAAACATTTTACCTGGCAAATTTACAAAGTGAAAATGCGGATCTAGCTGAATGCGAAAAGTCGGCGGTCCGGCAAAATTCTTTGTATCACCTCCCTGCATCGATTTGTGGCTTCTCGAGGAGTCATCTCGGAATTGAGGTCAGAATTCACGCGGTTTCATAACGATGTTTTCGCGGCGAAAATGAGGGGCAAGACAAAACTCGGATTTGTTGGGTCTATTAATTTGTCTCTCACATCCTCTCCCTCCCACAAATTAACTTTCCAGCCGCTGCGATCGACGTGTTGGCAATGATGGCTCTCCGGCTGCTGATCCCGCTCATCCTGTTCTTCCCTTACTTGGTGGTAATCTGGGTTTTAAGGCTGTACCTACCTGCTGATGATATATAACCTTTTTTGGGTTAAGTGCGGTTTACCAGCCCCCCCCCCCCCCCAGCCAAGCACCACCTACCGTATCTCAGCCACCTGTTCATCTACAGGTGTGTAAAGTATACCAAAATACTCGCCAGAGTAAGACAAACATTTTGGTATGCTTTACACCGCTGTGGATGCATAGGGCGCCGAGAAACAAAAGTTGGGTGCGGGCTGGGGGGGGGGGGGTGGTAAACTGCTCTCTAACCTGTATTTATATAGTGTTTTTCGTAGTTTATGAATGCCAAAAAGTTGAAAACTCTTTTACAAAATTGTACTCGGGAGCGAATTTCTTAAATATCAATAGCGGCAGTGTTTCTAAACCGTCTTTTGTTATTACTTATTCTAAAAACTTTAGAATTTTTTGGAAAAAAAGACAAAAAGTACCGGTTTTTCGACCACAATGGCCATTTTTTGAGCAAAATTTCGATTTTCGAAAAAATTTTTCGACGTTTTTAGATAGTTTTTCTAGTTAAAACCAGGGTTGAAAAGCCGCTTCGCGCCCTTCCAACCCTGCCCCCGTCTAAACCAATAATATTTTTCACTTTGCATTCTTGCATACGGTTTTCCATTCCTATGTGAATAATGAAAAATGTCACTCTCTAGCTCTTCATATAGGCTCCCCACACTTCCGGTTTATGCAAATTGTTTCCTACCAAAGAGGGTTCCCGATTTTACAACAAAAACATAATGTTAATGTCGAAAACTACTGATTTTGTAAAATCTGATATGCGCGCAGTCATCTCGTGGCCATTACGCACCTAACAACGTATCATACGTAGCCTAATACCCTTCCCTTCTTGAGATATCCTCCGGACAGCCTGACGGAAGTTGCATGCAAAGTGGCACACACACACACAGACACTATTTTTTTATATATAGTAGGATATAGCTTTATTTTACTAAAAGCATTGTGAAAATAGTCCCTACTAATTAGTAGGCTTTCTGGGGCAATACGACAGAAATTATAAGACTCCCGTACCCCCCTCCTCCCCCCCGCTATCAGTCCAAACCGACTGACTAACTCCCCCGTTTCAGACAGCGTTCTTCCAAAGTGTCTGGCTCTCTGAAAGCCAGCGTGGACGATGCCCGGCCGACCACATCACGTACGTGCCCTCCGACGTGGCGTTCACGTATCTGGGGCCAGCGCTCGAAGGAACGCTGGCCACGCCCGCTCCCATCGTCAAGCCCAACCGTATTGGTGCGTACCACAGATGATAGGCTTGACTGGATTTGGTAGCTAACCGGGCTGATGTCTCGACCAAAATTCGAGCCCGCATTTTCCATATAAATTGCGGACCCGTTTTACATAGTTTTTTACAATGCGAACAGCAAAAATACGGAACTTTTTATTTTTTGTAGTTTGACGCGGTTGTGCTCAAAGTTACGCGCAAACAGACGTTTTGGTTAAAAACATGCACAAAAAGTGATAAAAATGTCGGAAAATGGTTCTTTCGCATTATCGGGGGGGGGAGGAATAGTCTTTTGCATTAAACTAAAAAATCCTAGTAACGGAATAAGAAAAATTTTTATACTGTTTTTAATAAAACAAAACTATCTTTAAACTGGAAAAACTGTTAAAAAAACTTTGAACGATTTTTCAAAAAGGTCAGGCTTTTTGGGTTTCTTTGGTTTTTCTTCCCTCCAACGCCCCCCCACCCCCGATAATGCACAAGAATCGGCCGATTTTTAGATAAATTTTTTATTGTCCAATTTCAGTAGTTTTCGATTGCTAGAAACCTGTAAAATATCTTAAAATTTGAAATGTGGAAATTTTGACTTCTTTCTGGTAATTTTTCATACATTTTTCTCCAAAAAACGGGTCCCACAGGGCTGTAACGTATACCAAAATGTTCGTTCTGAGCTTGCGAGTAATTTGGGATACTTCAAAGCCCTGTAACATGACGTGTAGTCGCTTTCAGACGGTATCCAACCGTCCCATGACTGGACACTCTTCGAGGGATCGTCCCAGAAGACTACGTTGCACGCGATGTGTCTCCGCATAAACGATGCAAACAAACTCGTTGAGGTAAGCCCCCAAGGGAAGTAGGTGGTTCGTTAGGGGCCGGGTATTGAGCCCTTAACGGGGGGGTTTTCTAGCGGGGAAGGAGCTATCTAACCTTCACCTACATAGCGTATTTTCGGCGTTTTCTAGTGTCAGGAATCGGCAATTTTTTATATAAGTCTAGAAATTTCTCGTAAGGTAACATTGAGTTGTTTTAAATAATGTTATGATTAAAATTCATGCTACTTCTAACGAAAAAAACTAAGTCTCCGAAAAACTTCTAAATCCGAATTTTTGATCGTCAAATCGATATTTTGGGTATTTTTAGACAAAACCAGCGCTGACCCCCCGCTACGCGGGTGTTCAGCGCTGGCCTCTCCCACAATTCGAATTTTGGATTTGAATGCAAAATTTGGCTGAATTCCCGGTCGGCGGGCGTACGGACATTAGAAATTTATATATAGCAGATTCTCCTTTTCCCCCGCTAATAGCTCAGTATCGGCAGAGCAGCTTCAGTTAATAGATATCAACATTTTTACATGATAATTTCAGACCACGGCCCGCGATACGCTCAACATTGGGTTTAAGTCACAGCGCTCCTTCCGCAGTAAGCATATGACTCCTTATAATCGTTGGATTCTTCAGACGAGAAGGCGCAATATCTGGACGGGGCCTGCGTGTTCAAGGCGTCCGTCCCATTCCAACAGTCGATCCGTGTCGAGCTGCAAAATGCAGACTTGTGAGTGGTCAGGGGTTGCTTGGGGTAAGCCTGAGCTTCGGTGTGACCGATTTTAACCCCAAAGCTAAGCCTAAGCAGCAGCCTAAGCTTAAACCTAAGCCGGAGCGTAAGCCGTAGTCTAAGCTTAAGCCGAAGCCTCGCCGAAGCCTATGCACAAGCCTAAGCCTTAGCCTAGGCATGCCTAAGCTTAAGCCTAAGCCTTAGCAAAAACTTAAGCCTAAGCCTAAGCTTAAACCTAAGCCGAAGCTTAAACCTAAGCCCATGCTGAACGTTTGCCGAAGCCTACGCCTAAAAGCCTAAGTAGAAGGGCCTAACCTAAGCTTAGGCCGTAGCCAAAACCTGAACCTGAGCCTAAGCCTAAACATAAGCTTACTTGGTACCTTCTTGTATTTCAGCAACATCAAGATGACGCTGACGCAGGGATGCCCGGACGGGCTCTGGGGCTACATGTGCCAGGGGAGATGCGAGGTGCGTACAATTTTTCGTTACGCAACCGCAGCGTGTCGCGTTACCTGTCAAGTTGCCCATCGCATCACGCCTCGCGCTGCGTATCGCGCGGCGTACCATTTTGTGTGCCGCCTAACGGGTCGCGCGGCGTATCGCGTTGCTTGTCGCGGAGCAAACCCTAGGGCAGACTTTCGAGTCCCTTTATAAGCCAATTTTCAGTGCAACGGCGGTACTTGTGATGTGAGGGATGGAATCTGCACGACGGCCGAACCGGAGAAGGACATGGTAGGATATACATGAGCTTGAGCCCGAGCCTGAGCCTAAGCCTGAGCCCAAACTTAAGCATAAGCCTAAGCCTAAGCCTAAGACTAAACCTAAGTCTATGCCTCCCCTGCCTTTAGTCCGCACTCTGGTACGTCATCATCGGCTGCGTGGTGGGCTGCATCTTTTGCGTGAGCATCATCTTGGCCGCCATCGCCGCCTTGTACGTCATTTCCTAGGAGGTCAAGCCCCCAATTTTAGCATCTACACCAAGCGCCGGAGGTCCCGCCGCGGCGGCAAGAACAAGAAGCGGAAGGACCGCGACCCGACCGTCACGGAAGAGACGACCGCCAGTGTTGAGGACACTACCGTTGGATCGTGAGTTTGAAAAGATTCTTGAGCATCAGATCTCGGTGTTTTTGCATTATTATGGGTTATTCAGCCGAATTTTTTGTGCAATTCCAGAAATTACCAGTAATGCAATAGTAAGTATTTTTATATCGATATTAGGAAAACTTAAATGATATTGTTAAAGCACGAAATTTTCGTCAAAATGTATTTTAAGTAGACAACTCGGTTCTGGACTGTTCACGGGGAGATTAATGGGAGGAACCAAATTATTCCCATTAATTCCGTACGGCCCTATTACAAAACATAGACTATTGTTAAAGCATTTTACATATTATCATTTAGAAGTTCATAAAAACTCATCAACATTTTGAAAAAGTGCAAAAAATTCTCAAATTTCAAAATTTTAAAAATATCTTGTATAGAACTTTCTAGCATAAAAAACGTTTCCAGCGTCGCACCGCTAACAGTCAAGAACCGGACCCCCCGCCCCCGATAATGCACAAAATCCATTGATTTTTAGCGTCGAGTGCCGGCGCCACCACTGAAGGCGTCAGCGCGCGCATGATGTCTGGAGAACCAAGAATCCATAACAACCCGCCATCAGCATTTGCCTTTTACCGTTGTGATACATGTTTGCGAATGCAATAAATATAATTGGGCAATTTGCATAAATTTATTCAATTTGAATGAACTTTTTATGAACTACGGCATTTCACCCGGGAATGGGTTTTTCTTGAGAAACTGTTCATCTCTAGAAACCAGGCTCCACGGGTTTCCGTTTCTCGATGCAGCTCGTCTTGCTGGTGACGATGGGGGTCGCCTGGCCAACGTTGCTGGTATGGTCATTGCTTCTGCGGATCTTTTACATTAACGGGGGAGGAGCTTTATCAAGGGAAAAGTCAACTTTTGGCTTAAGTGCAGTTTACCCCCTTCCCCCGCCCCGCTGACCCCACCTACCGTATCTCGGCTCTCTGTTCATCTGCAGGTGTCTGAAGTATACCAAAATACTCGCCACGGCAAGGCAAAATTTTGGTACATTATGCACACCTGTAGATGAACAGGGGGCCGAGATACAAAAGTTGAGCGCCGGCTGGGGGGGGAAGCTGCGCTCTAACCCAACCTTTAACATTGGTTGACTGCTGAACGTTTTTCTATACTTTCTCTTGTGCCCCCCACCCCGATAATGCCAAAGCTCCAAAACTCTCTCTCTAGGCTCAGGCGCCGACCTGGAAACCCGAGCTGGGCTTCGGTGTCGACTACGAAGGTGAGGAGCACTGCAGGGACAGCAGTCGAGTGAAGTTCCGTGTCATCGCCGTCGAGCACAGCTACAACGAGACAATCCTCAATTCCGGGACCATGCCCGACCTTGATAAGTGGTCGGTAAAGAAGATGGCCATCTACATCATGACCATGGGTGAGTGTTTTTGGCAAGTCTTGCTCTTCAGCTCAAGAAGACTGGCTACGCTTAGGTTTAGGCTTAGGCTTTGGCTTAGGCTTGGGCTACGACTTAGGGGCAGGCTTAGGCTTAAGCTTAAGCTTAGGTGATTAGACTTGGGTTTGGGCTCCGGATAGAGGATAGCCTAGGCTTTGCTTAGACTTACGCTTAGGCTTGGCTTAGACTTGGGTTTAGGCTTAGGTTGAGTCATAGACTTACTAGGGGTATGCTGAGGCTTGGGCTTATGCTTAGTCTAAGTCTTAAGTTTGCTCTTGCGCTCAGATTTAGGATTCGCTTAGGCTTCAGCTTCGTCTTCGGCTTGGGCATAGGCTTACCTTTAAAACGACAAGAAAATGGAGACTAGTCGTAAACTACGACTCCATCACTCTAGGTGATGCTTCGCTCACGGAGAAGCCTATCTACGCAGCCAACGACTGGGGGCAAGCTAGGTTCCCTCGCCCGATCTGCATCTCAGTGCAAGATGCTACCCGGCTGTTCCTGGTAAGGCTCTCGGTACTGGCCTGTTAGCCGGGGGATTTTTTGCAAGGAGAACTCATATTTTTGAATTTTTAAAATTTTAAGAAACTTTTTAAACTTTTTAGCAATCAAAAACCGCGCTAAACATTATAAAAATGCACTATTTGTTATTGGTATTATCATCCCTCTTCAGGGCAGCGGAAAAGACGAACTCAAAATCGTGCTGGCGACGGCGGTGAATAGCCCGGTATTCCATGATGAGACGAAGCATCTCTTGCCCGAACCCGTGTTCTTCCGACCCGGCGACCCGTTCAAGGACGCCATTGATGTGGCCCAACAAAACGATCAATAGTAGGGTGGAAGCTTTGTTAATGCATTTTGGAATTTTTCAGCACTGTCAGTTTCCAGCTGCAGCAGCGCTGCCCGATCGGACGCTACGGATATTTATGCCAGAAGCGATGCTCGGTAGCGTGCCTTCTCACTTTCTCTTTGTCTCTCTCTGTCTCTCTCCGTCTCTCTCTCGCCTTTTCTACTCCCTTGCCCTCTCTCAGTGGCTATCAGACGAAACAAAAATACCTCGATCTCACTAACTCTGTTTGTCTCTCTCTTTCTCTCCCCCTCTCTCTCTCTCTCTCTCTCTCTCTCTCTCTGTCTCGCTTTCTCTCGCTTTCCCTCTCCCGCTTTCTTTTCCTCTCTCTCTCGCTCTCGCTCCCTCTCTTTCTCTCTCGCTTTCGCTCTCTTTCTTTTTCACCCTTTTGCTCTCTCTCCCTCTTTCCCCCTTTTTCTCGATCGCTTCTCTTTCCCTTTCTCTCTCTCTCATCTCTCTCTCATCTCTCTCTCTCTCTCTCTCTCTCTCTCTCTCTCTCTCTCAATCTCTCCCTTTAGTGTGATGACAAGCCGTGTTCGGTTGACCGTGGTATCTGTCCGGCCCGTCCTTTTACTCCTCCGGAAGCTGTAGGTCTTTATTAGCACTACACACTGGAGCTCCTTTAGAACTCCGAAGAGGTCGCCTGGTGGATCTTTGTCCTGATCGGATTGATCGTCGTCTTCGGCCTCTGCTGCTTTCTCATTGTTGCTTTCTGCATCGTGAGGTAGGGCTTAGGCTTAGGCCTAGGAATCGGTTAGGCTTAGGCTGGGGCTTAGGTATAGCTTAGACTTACGCTTAGGCTTTCGCTTTTCCAGCAAAATCCTGAAAAAGAAGCGTGCCCAGCGTTCGCGCAGCCATGATAGCCCTTCGACCGAAGATGAGAGCAAGGAGCATCGATCGAAGAAGTCCAAGAAGCACAAGCGGAAGCGAAGGGACCTCACTGTCTCCCAAGAAACCGGTGGCACCACCGATGATATCGCCTAAGGTAAATCGATCGTTGGATCTACCCGACTAATTTTTGAATATTTTGTAGGTGTAGCCAAGCGAGGACACTGAAGCCGGATCGCATCAAGAACCAAGCCTACTTGTCGACTTTCAAGCATCGATTCCTATCATTCGAATTGTTTTGTGCTCCATCTATTGATAAATACTTGAATCCATTTAATCATTTGTGGTTTAAATTCAATATTTAAATTGTGAGATTTGCATAAAGCATTTGAAATGAATCAACAAAAGTCACTGTTCTATTCGAGCGGCTCCGAGGAGCTCTACTCCAATCATCAGATTTTCGTTACAATCCGGCCGTGCCTTATGCAGCTGATCTTTTTCGCTGCGTCACTTATCGTACTGACGTCATTTCGGGTACGTGTTGGGGTTCTGGACTGTTAGCGGGGGGGACCACTTCCTGTTTATCTGCCTACACTTACCTCTTGATTATAAATAGTGCATTTTATGTGGTTTTTAGAAGTTTTTGATTGCTAGCAAGTTATGAAAAACATTTTTGAAACTACTGAAAATTCGAACTTTTTAGCTTTTTTGGTTCATTTTTCATACAACGTTTTTATGATTTTCTTTGTAGGTTTTATACCTAAAAACTACGTAAAATGCTATAAAAAATGGTTTATATTTGGCTATAGGCCTTAAAGAATCACAGAGAAAAATTTGGCTTCCCCCCCCCGCTAACAGCCCAGAACCCTTTCTTCCAGGCGCAGCCCGACTCGCACACCTGGCGCCCCGACCTGGGCGCCGGCGGCAAAGACAAGAATGGGGAATATTGTGAGGATCGTAGTCGCGTGATGTTCTCAGCAGTCGACGTCTCGTACAAGTTCATCGCCCGCAGTATCAAAGACGAGCCGGTGAACGAAATTATGCAGGCACACGCCAGACTGATCAACATCGCCGTCAAGTCGATGGGTTGGTGTTTTGATAATGCGTAGGCTTTGGTTCAGTCTTAGGTTTAGGCTCAGGCTTAGGCTTAGGCTTAGGCTTAGGCTTAGGCTTAGGCTTAGGCCTAGGCTTAGGCTTAGGCTTAGGTTAGGCTTAGACTTAGGCTTAGGTTAGGCTTAGGTTTAGGCTTAGACTTAGGCTTAGGCTTAGGTTTAGGCTTAGACTTAGGCTTAGGCTTAGGCTTAGGCTTAGGCTTAGGTTAGGCTTAGACTTAGGCTTAGCTTAGGCTTAGGCTTAGGCTTAGGCTTAGGCTTAGGCTTAGGCTTACAAGGGAAGTGCACGACCGGCCCACGAGAAATCGACACGAGACATAGTGGATCTGATAGAATCGGACACGGGGATTCCGAATCTGTAATCAGAATTTGCTAAATAAAACGGAGAAAAAAGTTATGAAGCTTCAAAGTTGGTAAAATCGCCCAAAACGGTACCTTTAAGGGCCCGTAAAAACCGGGGGAACGGAATTGAGGAGAAAAGAATTAGTGCATCTTGTTCAGCAGAAAAAGCGCTTTCGAATGAGCTGTCTTACGTAGCATTTGCAAACAATTCACTGAAAAAAGTTTTTTTGGATTCACGGGCAAGGGTATGGCCTGTCAAGTTCATAGAAGAGATTTTCGCGAAATCATCGTAAACTTGAAGTAAGATAGCTTATTCGAAAGCGCCTTTTCTGCTGAACAAGATGCACTAATGGGTTGTGGCAAATTTCCATTCCCTAGGCCTTTACAGGCCCATAAAAGTCCGATTTTGGGCGATTTTACAAACTTTGAAGCTGCATAACTTTTTTCTCCGTTTTATTTAGCAAATTCTGATTACAGATTCGGAATCCCCGTGTCCGATTCTATCAGATCCACTATGTCTCGTGTCGATTTCTCGTGGGCCGGCCGTGCACTTCCCTTGTTAGGCTTAGGCCTAGGCTTAGGCTTAGGCTTAGGTTAGGCTTAGACTTAGGCTTAGGCTTAGGCTTAGGTTTAGGCTTAGACTTAGGCTTAGGCTTAGGTTTAGGCTTAGACTTAGGCTTAGGCTTAGGCTTAGGCTTAGGCTTAGGTTAGGCTTAGACTTAGGCTTAGCTTAGGCTTAGGCTTAGGCTTAAGCTTAGGTTAGGCTTAGGCTTAGGCTTAGGCTAGGCTTAGACTTAGGCTTAGCTTAGGCTTAGACTTAGGCTTAGGTTTAGCCTCTCCTAGTAATTTTGAGCTGTCCCTTCAGGCGACGCCCAGCTCTCACACAAGCCCATCTTCGCGAGCCTGGGCCCGGACAGGCCGCGCGATCCGCATCCGCTGTGCCTCACTTTGCAAGATGCGACCAGGCTTGCCGAGGTGTTTTGCTATTTCTTGGCAAAAAGTTGTAAAGTTTTGACGTCTAGGAATATTAAAAACTATTTAAAATCAAGTTTTTCTCCCCCCCCCGTTAAGACATCAGAACCCATATTTCGGGTTTTAGACAAGCGGCAAAGACATGCTGGTCCTCATCCTGACAACGGAGGCGACGTATGGCGAGTTTCCGGAGCCCGGCGCCGTCGTACTGCCTGATCCGGCAATTTTCAGCCGAGGCAACACGTTCCGTGGGGCTGCCGAGCTGCATTCGACGAATGCGCATTAGTGGGATTTGACCTATTTTATAGGTAATGATGTCCGGTATCTAGTTACGTCAGCATGAAAATCATCCAGCGATGCCCGGATGGACGATACGGGTATCTGTGCCAGACCCTCTGCCCGGTACCCGCTTTTCCAGGAACGAAACGGCATCTGTTTGAATGTGTCAAATCCTAAAAAATTGTTAGACGGTTTCATGAAATAATCGGTACTTTTGCATTATCGAGGGGGGGGCGGGAAAAGTTTTTGATTAGGAAAACATTTTCTGAAATACAGGGTGTCCCAAAAAAAACGACCCATCTGGCATTTCGCCGTATTACAGCCAATCGGCCCCAAATTTGGATGAGAGGTGTATCATACCCTAAATAACTACAATCCTGACTTTTAGCCCCGTAGCTACAGTTGTTCTCGAGTTATAACGAAAATACTGTTTTTGACGCAATTCTGAACAGTTTTTTCGGCTATCTTTTTGGACTTTGCATCGATTTGCATCGAGTTCCGGCTCCGAATCCCTAATTTCGCTTAAGAACTTGGCTAATTTTGTGTTGTAAAAATCGCCTAACTCGACGCTTATTTGATTAATTTTAGTCGGAAAAAATTTCTTCTGGTAAAGAAGGCCTACCGGATGATTTTCACTTAATGTTTAGGGGGTCTAACTCCACGGAAACCCTATGAAAAATGGAAAATAAAGTTTATTTTTGTTATAACTTTAAAACTACCGTAGCTAAGGGGCTGAAAGTCAGGATTGTTGTTATTTGGGGTATGATACACCTCTGGTTCAATTTTGGGGCTGGTTGGATGTAACACGGCGAAATGCCAGATGGGTCGTTTTTTTTTGGGACACCCTGTATCAATAGCGGAAGTGTTTCTAGGCTGTTTTTTACTATTCCTAAGCGTCAAAATTTTACAAGATGTTATGAAAAATTTACTTTCAGGTCGAAAAATTGATTTTTTCGACTGGTTACCCTCCCCTCCCCCTCCCCCGAATCCTGAATAACCAAAATAGGCTATCCTTTCACCCCTCTCCCCCCCAGCCGACCCCACCTGCTCTATCTCGGCTTACCGTAGTGCTATCGGGCTGCCAAGCTTACCATAATGCTCGCCTGGTCAAGATAAACATTTTGGTATACTTTACACACCTGTAGCTGAACAGGAAGCCGAGATAGAAGAGTCGCGGGGTCGGCTGGGGGGAGATTGTACTCTCATGATAAGAGTGTTGTTTTTAGTGTGCGGCTAACTGGCCGTGTTCCGTCGAATTCGGCGTGTGCGTGCCGCATCCCACCCCGAACGCCATCAAGGTGGAGTCCGTCGATAACCTAGCAAATTTTTTAGCCGGAAAACGGGTGGCTCTTTCTGTTGCTCGGGCTGGCCGCCGTCTGCTGCTTCTGCGCGGTGATCATGGGCGTCTTCGGCGTTATGGTGTAGCGTTTGACTGCAGATTCCACATAGGGCTAAGCTTGTTACGCTTAAGCTCACGTTTGCGCTTACGCTTAGGCTTGGGCTTGGGCCTACGAATAGTTTAGGCTTAGGCTGAGGATTATGCTTAGCCGTGAGCTTAGGCTTAAGTTTAAGATTAGGCTTAGACGCTATAGCTCCTCATTTCCGCTTTTCCAGCAAGATCTTGAAAAAGAAGCGTGCCCACCGCTCGCGCCACCATGACAGCCCTTCGACCGAAGATGAGAGCAAGGAGCATCGATCGAAGAAGCACAAGAAGCACAAGCGGAAGCGAAGGGATCCCACTGTCTCTGAAGAGACCGGCGGAACCACCGAGGATATTGCATAAGAAGCGCCGGCAGTGAAGCTGCATCATACTACGGATGACCAAATGAAGACGACCTCAACTTATTTCTATTTTATTCGACTTGCTGTGTATTTCAAGAAATAAATACTGCGCAAGGGAAGGTGCTTCAAAGAGCTGCAGCTATATTCACCTAAGTTGGCACATACCGTAACCTAATAAGTACTGTGGCTACTTGCTTTCAATTAGCCTATTCATGAGTTCAATCGTAGATTAGCATCCATAGTCGCATTATGAAATTATTTGCTTAAGATTTGGGCATTTTGTCTTTCTCCTTCGCTGAGAACGTCTTCGAAACAAGGGCGTCTTCCAGAGGCGGGGGTGAGGCTCCACGCACGATTTCACCGCTCAGATAACTTCAGGCCGACATGTACCTCTTCGCCGTGCTGACGGCCAGCTCGTTCTGGGCCCTGATCTCGGTAATTGTTCTTTAGTATGCAATTTTTCTAGTATAAATAGAAGCAGTGCTTTTAAGCTGTTTTTACTGTTCCGAGATGCGGAAACGTTATACGTTCTTATTAAAAACCGCAAAATTATCGGTTTTTCGACTAAATTGGCCTTTTTGTCAATATTTTGTTTGGTAAATTTTTATCTAATTTTGCGAAAAATCTAAGCAAAAATCTTGAAATTTTTAGTTTTGGCCAGAAATATCGGAGAAATTACCAAAAAAGGCCCAAAACGTCGAATTTTTAAAAAATTTAGCATACTTTTGCAACTTTCTAGCAAATAAAAGCTACGAAAAACATGATAAAAATACTCGATTGGGTAAGAGTTGACTTTACCCCCACAGCCGAAGGGTCTCAAAGTTGTCGGTATTTTCGCTTATTTTGTCGGGATTTTTGCAACGCCTTTCGATAGAGCGTCACAAAAATAAGCTAAGAGTTTTAATTTGAGCCTACAATAATGTAAAATAAAAAAGTTATAGCCAAAAACTTCCGGCTGGGGGGGTAAAGTAAACCGTAGCCCTCGATTGATTATGAACAGGTAAGCAAAACTAATTTTCCCCCTGTCGAAAATTGCCCACCTCCCGCTAACAGCCCTACTCCAAAAACAAAAAACACTACTGTAGTTTATCGACTATTTAGGTACAACCTGCAGAGCCGCCGTGGTTCCCTCCCCTCGGCGAGACGGGACAGTACGAAGGAAAGCGCTACTGCCAGGATAAATACGTGACGTTCGGCGTCGACGTAGCGACGGCCAACCACAGCTTCATCGCCGCCACGATCAACGACACCGTCACATTTCCCGACTGGAAGGAGCGGGTCACGTGGATGCATCTCCAGATCAAGACGATGGGTAAGCCAACAGATGCAGGCGTAAGACTGCAGGGGTCTTTCGCATTACCGGGCGGGGGGGGGAAAGATTTTTTCTTAGCAAGCCATTTGAAAATATAAATCACTAAAGTGTTTCTAAAATGCTTTTTTTATTCCTAAACGTCAAAACTAAAAAAAGCAAAAAAATAAAACTTAGCCCTCCCCCCGCTAACAGTCCAGTACCGAAATTACTGCAAAGTTTAGGCGACGCCCACTTCTACGACCGCTCTGTGCTGATAGTCGAAGGCCACGGCCCGAAGGCATACCGTAGTAGCACGCCGTTATGCCTGAGGCTGGAGGACGTCGACAAGCTTGCTCAGGCATTTTTCTTACTTGGTCCCTGGCCGGAGATGCGCCGTTTCGGTTCTTTCGCATTATCGGGGGATGGGGGGGGGGAGAAATAATTTTTTTATGAATCTAGAAATGCCTAGTAACTTATTAGGAAGTGTCTTCATGATGTTTTTAGTAAAATAAGACTCTATTTGAACTAGGAAAACCTGAATTCTCAAAAAGCCGAAATTTTCGTCAAAAACGACGTCGTTTGGTCAAAAAATCGATATTTTTTCTTGTTAAGAAAAATTTGTAAGGTTTTTACGTTTAGAAATAGTAAAAACAGCCTAGAAACACGTCCGCTATTCATATTTAAAAAAGTGCTTCCTAATCAAAACCATTTCAGACGAGCGGCAAGGAGAAACTGGACCTCCTGGTCCTTACGAAGGCATCTCACCTCCGCGTCGTGGACATGTTCGAGGATCCGTTCCCGCAACTGCTCAGCTTCCGGCCCGGCAACCCGTTCCAAGCCTCGATACTGCTCGATCAAACCAATACTTACTAGTGAGTCTCGCAACCTCGCAACTACGGGGTGTCCCAAAAAAATACGCCTCTTTTTGCGGACCTCAGTCGTGTCCGATTTTTACGATGCAGCTATCCATCGACAGC